TTTTGGGTCCAAGACAATGGTCCAGTTTTGGAAAATGGGATAGTTTTCGAGAAAATAGTCAGCCTCAGTGAAAATTTTCAAAAACTATTTTTGCAAACAGTCAATGCTCAACAGGCATGGAACTTACTCTTTGAGATGCGCAACCTCGGATCGGAGGCAATGGAAAATTGCCCCTGGTTTGAAGGGGGGGAGGCAACGGAAAGTTGCCCCTGGTTTGAATGGCGTCTCACGCCGGCTTGCGGCAACGGAAAGTTGCCCCTTGTTTGGATGGTGTCGCAGCAGTCCGCAGACAGTCTTCATTGGCAGTGGTCGAGCTCTTAGACACAGCGATGACGAAGACGGTCACAACAAATATATGGACACAGTCGCCATGGAAGCGTTGGCGACTAGACTTTGGGATGAAATCGAAACCATTGCATGGACTGAGACGCTATGAAAGCGTTGGGGGCTGGACTTCATGATGAAGTTGCCTGCGTATCCCAAACATGGGAATCAAGCCTCACGTAGTTTCGGTTAAGGTACACTCGGGTATTTTAACCTTCACTTTTCAGGCTCTAATTTTTGCCAAGGTGCCCGATGCGGGTTTTCGACCTTGCGAGCTTCTTTTCATTTTCTATTTCTTTTTTGAATTTTTCTTTTTTTTATTTTTTTTGCATTTTTCTTTTTCTTTTCTTTTCTTCTTTTTTGTATTTTTGCTTCTTTTTTTTTCTTTTTCTTGTATTTTTCTCTTACTTTAACTTTTGCCTGGGTTGCCCTTCCGAGTTTTCGGCCCGGCGAGCCTCTCAAAGGGTAAAAGTGTAACAAGTCCATGCCAAATGGTTTTTGGAGTTGAAGCCTCTCTGCGTCTAGGAGAACGGCTGTTGCAATGATTTGCAGATGAATCCATCCCGGTTGCTCCGTGAGCTTATTCCGGCGAGATCTACTCCTTCTGATTCGGCTTTGGTGCCTCTTGCTCGAGGGCTGCTTCAAAACTGGCCATATAGACCTTGCATGGCGTTTTTCCGTTGAACTTTCTGAACGTTCTGAAGGCTACCTCAAAACTGGCCACACGGGCCTTTCGTGGCGTTTGTCCGTTGAACTTTCTGAACGGATTCAAGGTTTAAAACGGATGGGTTGAATTTTGAGGCTGAGAGCGATCCTAGGCTGCGCAATCTCAAGAGCGATTCCACACAGGTCTTCGCAGGGCCGCGTAAAACATTTGCTTTTGAAAGTTTTTAAGAAAGCGACAAATCGCTCGTGCCGAAGATAGTGTGGAACCAATCTGGATCAGGCCAGGATCCTTCTCAGTACTCATGCCGACAAGCATGATTTCATTCATTAAAAGGCTTAGCACGCCTCTCTTTCTCTCAAAATGATCAAAATTTTGCAAAACCCGAGGAATTCCTTCCTCTTCGTTTTCATCACCGCAGTGTTCAAAAGGTTTTTCTCTTTTTGAAAAAAAAACTTAGGTTCATGCAATGAGTTTGGCGCGCAGGAGAGCATGCGAGATGTACTGTCAGCCCAATCAAATTCTCTGGCACTTATGCTGAAAGCAAGCATGAAAGTGAGATAGCAACAGCTGTTCTATTCGGATTTGTTGGTGCAACTGGCCCCTTGGCAGAAACAGACTCAAAACACAAAAAATAAGTAATTACAAGACAAAACGGTGTTCGGGACAACAACCCCAGAATCACCTGGTATTATATACAAAGGGGACTGACTCGATACAACAAGACAGACCCTTAAGCAAAAAGACTGACTCAAGACAAAGAGACAGACTCAAAACAAAAGACTGACTCGATACCTAAGCCAGGATTTACAAAACTCAATTTCACCGATGCTCAAAAATGCGTGCCAGACGCTACATCCAAAATATACCAAATGTCGCCCGCAGGCGGTTCACTTTACATACTCGCAGTAACTGAGCCCTCGAAATCCAACAACTGGGTGGTAACGGACTTGGCTGAGGTGGGTGGGAGGATAACCTTGTTGTCGATCAAATCTTGCACTTCATGACGAAGGCGGGAACATCCATCGGTACTGTGACCGGACTGTTGGTGGTACGCGCAGTACAAGGTAGCATCATGCGTGGCGGGGAGATTCTTCGGGAGTGGCCGAGGCTCCAAAGGTTTAAGATGCCCATTCTTCGCCAATATTAGTAATGCCCTAGACAAAGGCATGTAGAGGTCGTGAAAGACCCTGCGCCCTCGGGGCAGGTACTTTGAAGTTTGAGGATTCTTGCCAGATGCGCTAGCGAAAGGGTCAGCTGGCACGAAGTCTATCGAATTTACTGGCTACCCAGTGAATGCGAAGTCTTGAACTATTCAACCGTTTATATAAACCAAGACAATAGGCCTCACACAGGTATGACTCCAACCATCATTCTGTTCTCACTATTGTGCCTGGTTTGGCTCTAAAACACTAGTCTGGTTCAGTGAGTGGTTTAAAGAATTTAGCATTGTCAATTTTTATGGAAGCAGCCCCACTTCACACTCACATAGGTGACTCTACTTGAATATCCTTCTATACTCAGCTCAACACACTAGAGTCATTAAAAGCTCAGCTTAACCTTTACACTTGCATGTATCATTGATCAAAGGAATGGCTGGAGGTTAAACCTCCTCAGTGACATACCACCGTTACACGCAATTAGGTTATCCCATTGAACCTAAAGCTTGGGATATCCAGTCAACTAGGTTGAGTTTCCATTCCGGTAACACCTTACACTAAAGGCCTTCAACACATTCCTTCTGACGACTTCTCTACTAACAATCGATTTAATCATTTAGTTAGCGGATCTGCAATGTTGTCCTTAGACTTCACATAGTCTAAAGTAACAACTCTGTTAGAGAGTAGTTGTTGTATAGAATTATGTCTACGACAGATATATCTAAACTTTCAATTATACATATTACTCTGTGCCCATCCAATAGTTGATTGGCTGTCACAATGAATAGAGATGGCTAGCACAGGTTTCAACCAACGTAGAATATCTTCAATGAAATGGTGAAGCCATTCTGCCTCTTCTGTTGCTTTATCCAACGATATAAACTCTGATTCCATCATTGATCGTGAGATACACGTCTAATTGGAAGATTTCCAAAACACAATTGCCCTTGCAAGGGTGAACACAAAACCACTAGTGGATTTCGAATCCCTAACATCAGATATCCAATTCGCATCGATATAGCCTTTTATTACTCACATAATGCTTTACCGGCCTCACCTGAAGGGGAACGACCCCAAGGTCATACTTTATCGGGCACAAATCAGAAGGAAGAGGAACCTATCACAAGGCCCCACTTTACCGCCTCAATACGAAGAGAAATGAACTTCCTTTCACACTTTACTGGGTGAAAATTGGAAGGGACGAGGAACCTCTGTCAAGGCGTCACGCTTTACTGGCCTCACCCGAAGGGAAACGGACCCTCAAACAATAACACAACAATAGCACAACATACAAAACTACATAATACCATACAAGTGTAATATGTACACATCATCTACGCAACAACAACAATGTCATCCTCCATCGATGACCAAGGACAAAACCTCTAAATTGAGAAATAGATACACGACTTGTACAATATAAATCCATAACTAATTCCACATTTTCAAATCAACGACTTCTCATTTCATTTCATAAAAGAGTTACACACACCATTTTATTTCCTAAACCAAATATGTTGTTTCAAAACCATCAATTACGTCTACCCTTGGCCAAAACTTCATATTTTTCCTTAAACCAATACAATTTATAAAATACAACTACAATACAAAGTTAATCAAAACCACTACTAAGCCTACTTAAGTTTCATTTTAATAACTAAACCACTATTCCAATTCTTTAACACATAACTCGGTTATTACATATCTTCATTCCTCTAGGATTAATTAAGTCCATAATGTAGGGTTTTTTTTTTCCCACTCTCAACACGAACATGCCCAGCTACCTCTCAATGAACCGAAACACCCACAACTCATCCAATTTTAACTCTTAAAATCCAAACCCCAATATTAATAAAAAATATTACTTCCAAGATTAATTTCTACTGATATGAAAAGTAAAAAATTACATTAAAACATATATAAATAAATATATTTATTTATATCTATGTTGAGATATAAAATATAACAATTGTATCTTAAGTTGTGTCCAATGCATATTTTAAGCAATGGACTTGTGTCCAATCCATATTGTGGACGATAACACTGTACAAGTCCATGGCCCTTCACAGACCTTAGTTTGTTGATCAAATTCATTCATTTTTTAAAATTTTTTTTAATCATATGTGTAGATCATTCACTAAAAAAAATATTAGATTGATTTTGTACGAGCACGAAATATTCGCCGCAAGTATAATCTTGGTAACCAAGTTCGCGATCCTCCAAACGTCGTCATTTCCTTTGAAATCACATGAACATGAGCTTATTGACGGATGTGTGCTAGAAAATCCCTCCAATGCTTAAGTTAGCACTCAAGGGGCTATTTTGAATTTTTGCCCTCGAAACGCCCTTTTTCGAGTAAGTTTAAGGCGTATTTGGCTCTAACTCTCTACCTACGGGTCCGAATTATATTCCGTCAATTGTCACAAGTCCTATTTGTCATGGGGAAACTGTCCGTGAGAGTCACATGGTGGTTCATGTGCTGTTTTGAATTTTCACCCCCGAAACGCCCTTTTTCGAGTAAATTTTAGGCGTATTCGGCTCTAACTCCCAATCAACGGGGCCGGATTACATTCCGTTAGCTGTCACAAGTCCTATTTGTCATGGGGAAACTGTCCGTGAGAGTCACATGGTGGTTCATGTGCTGTTTTGAATTTTCACCCCCGAAACGCCCTTTTTCGAGTAAATTTTAGGCGTATTCGGCTCTAACTCCCAATCAACGGGGCCGGATTACATTCCGTTAGCTGTCACAAGTCCTATTTGTCATGGGGAAGCTGTTCGTGAGAGTGACACAGTGGTTCGGAGGCTGTTTTCAATTTTCCCCCCCGAAACGCCCAGTCTCACGGAAGCAATGGTCAATCAGAATACAAAAGGTCATTTCCTTATTCCATATTTTCCCTGTAATATTTACCACAAATGGGCCTTCAACAAGAATGAATAATGTATCTCTAAAACAAAGTAAACAATTTTACACTACCTTACAGACCCTTGTCGCTGACCTAAAAAGCATTTTTCAGAGGGGCCCAAAAGTTCAAACCTAGGCATCACACATTTCTAATTAGTGATCATCAACACCCTCTATAATAATACTAGCAGGAATCCCTGCAGGATCAATCTTTTCCAAATTCCAAGTTAATCCCGGAAATGGTAATTCCTTTTTTCCGCATACATTAGATTGTTTACTTACCAATTCTCTTCATACAGTTGGATACAACGAACTATGCTACGAGGAATTCCTTGTCAAGAAATCATTGACGGCGAGACTGGCATCTCCATGGGCTACAGCATCATCGGGTTCTGGCATGTAGAGTGTTGATGAGGAAGCCTGCATGTCAAAAGCCCAATCAGTAGGGTCATAGAAACAAGTAATACCAGCCCAAGAGCCCAACACCATGTTTCGATAAAACTGGCAAGAAAAATCACCACGGTTGCAAGACAAACATTATAAAAATAATAATAACAGTTACCTTCAATGTAACAGGAAATGTACTAACATTTATAGGTGCAAAATCCTCAAAATAATAGTGGACCCCCATGAAGCAGCAGTTAATGTCAGAATTTCAAACTAGGAAGTTGTGAATACCCCAAACTATGAATCATTCAACAATATATGACATTTGGCAAAAATAATATAGTTTCATAACTAAAATAGAAAAATTACATCAGATAGTTCAGAATCATTTGATTAATCCCATTTTATGAGCACAGGTTATGCAGTTTAAGCCACATGCAGTATGCTACAAGTACCTACAAGTACCAAAGGTTAATTGCTGACATTGTGGAAATAGGAGCCCAGACACAAGGGTTTCATTTTTGTCAAACTTTAGTGTCTATTATGATGCAAGGACATAACATACCTTTGTGTCAAGCTGCATCTCTCCAGTATTTTCTATAACAAGGCATGCATCGTGGGCCTTCAGCCATTCCACATACTCTTCCAATCATCTGAATCCTTTTCCTCAGTTATTTCTATAGGCGAAGCATTGGTGAAACCCAGAACCTGAGCAATATATGAAACAGGGACTGTAGGGCGACTTGAACGAGACACGCATCTCACAGTAGTGTACCGCATCTTCTCAACATAAAGATCTGCAGTGAAAGAAAAATATTTTATTATCTGTTTTAAGTGTTACTAACCCATGGAAGTTAGAATTAGAGATAACAATATGTATACCCACCCATAAGACAGGCGTTAAGATTAGGTGCAGTCTTGTATAGTCTAAAGAACCGAACATAATTTCCTGAAGTGACAGCGGTATGAATTGCAAGAGCATGTTTTACAGCCTCATCTTTTTTGGTTTCAACTGATGAGCTGAAGGCCAATACAATGCATATGTCAGTTTGGCATTCTATATGAACTCATAGGCTGAAAGAACAGAAAGGAAAAATAGATTTTCTTAGCAAATAGACTCAGCTATGTTATGATTCACTCACATTAAAGGCATAGTAGACACAAGGGAAACAAGAAAAAAAATGCACACGGACACAGACATATTTCCATGGGATCCCTCCAGCCATGCAGCACTAATGTTTGCATGACTACAAAATACACAAGAATTCATAAAAGTTTAGCCAAAACCATGCCAAGTTTTTCCTGACATATAATAACATGAACCCAATCCATATCGTTTTTAAATATCAATTTTCAGTTATGCATGACATTACCATCAGCATCACCATAATTTCTGGCAACAAAAAAAAAGCTGATAAATTGACCAGGTTTCAGGTGTTCAGGACATAATTCCTTGATTTTGATTTCATGAGGTCAAATGTTATCTAACAAGATGAAAATATAGACCAGATTTTTTCAAGTGTTTCTCAAATGGGATTTACTTTATTTATTTATTTATTTTTATTTATCAAGTACATAGCTTGAAAAATCAGAAGAGAAAAGATAAACCAACTCTATTTTGAGCATCAGTAAGTCATATATTTTGATTGATTAGAGTAGGTTTCAAACCCCATGTAGTTGGGATAAGGCATCGTTGGGTTTGATTAGGTTTTAGACATTCAGTCAACAGTCTACTATCGAATTTTCAAAATAGTCTTAAGTTAACCATCAAGTTGCTGAAATGAAATGCCTTACCAGAAATGAAAAGAAATTAAATTCCTTACCAAACAATGCATTGAAAAGCAATACTATTGTCAATAGTTTTCCGAAGTACTCACACCAAAATTCCACTATAGCAAAATTCAATGGTTTTCTTCAGTGCATCTAAGTTGGGCACAAAAGTATCTATGATTTGATGTACAAATAAGTCAACCACCCATACATAACTTTTCAAGATAGTTCAAGGTATTAAATAAAAAGCCAAGTACAAAACACAATTTAAAATTTAAATTTAGTCTGCAACAAATCAACAAAATTATCAGTGATTGTAACCAACACAATGTAACAACTCCGAAAGCAGCAATGACATAATAAGAGATCGACAAACAAGATCAATGAGAAATAACACGAATGCAAGATGGATGTACTAACCTTGACATTGCTGATACCAGATCTCTGCTATTGTTGGCATGCAAGATAACACAGAGTATATTGTAAGCAGAAAATTCCATGTGGCACCCCTTAATTGACTCCGCATAAAGTGTTTTCAACTGTGATTGACACTGCAAATCAGATGGAAGAAAGTCAGCCAATGCCTCTAATCAACATGAACAATTAAATGGAATCAACATTCAATTTACTAAGCTCCATAAACAATTCTAAAAGAAATTGCCCTAGTTCCAATAACATATGTCGAACACTTATCTCATACCCTTACTAAAGTAGTGTCCTGACATTAGTACATTAGACATTTAGAAGAGTTCATAGACTACAACTAAAAGCCAAATTTGAGACAAGAGTTTCAACTTTCAAATAATAGAAATTTTCCGGTTTAAAAACTGGAAGTTGTTATCATCCTATTCTCCACACAAAATAATGCCTATAAGAATCCTAGAGAAGAAGGGAGGCATGGTGCGAAGCAGTCCTAGAACCTACACCATAGGTTAAATTGGTTTTGATCATGAACAATGAACACCAATAGATGCAATGACAAAGAAGAGTGATATAATCACTATAAATAAAAATGTTAGGGAGAGGAAAAGATGTAAATTGACATGGGATGTAGTAGTAAAAAAGGCTATGAATTTATTTAATTTAACTAAGCATATAGCCCTTAACATAACAAAATTGTAAAAAGGATTTATGTAGCTAAACCCACTTAATTTGAACACATGGCTTAGTTGGGTTTTGATTTTTTTTATTCATTTTCCATGTATATATATTCTAGTAATTAAGATGGGCTATTGGGGACCCCTTTGAACAATGAGGGCTTTTATTCAGTAGGGTTTTTAGATGAGGAGTTTATTTTGTTTTGACTTGGTGTTTCAACAAGAAGTGTTTTATTCAGTCTTTATTATTGGGGCCCGTGAACAAGGAAGGTTTTTAGTTTGTTGGAACTTCGGACAGAGAATTTTATGTTTTATAATTTTTGGATAAGAACTATTTTATTTTATTGAGCCTTTGGATAGGGTGTTTTTTTATTTTGTAGAGCCTTCAGACAAGAAGATTTTTTTTAGTTTTATTTTATTTTTGGATAAGATTTATTTTATTTTATTTGCGGCCTTCAAATAATTGGGGATCTTAGGTGAGATGGGAGATTTGCGCCGTTAGTACGGCCGAGCTAAGATAGGGCGGGTCGTGACAAACCTCACGGCGCCTTGCTATTTCCTCTACTGAGACGCCCAGTGGGTCTGTTTTGCTCGGTCGAAAAGATCGGCTGACCGGGCGTGAACTAAGCCTGGCCGAGCTGCGACTAGCAAACATTTGGCAGGGCACACAGCCAAGTGGCGAGACCGGGCTACGGGTAGCTCGGGCTAAACTATGGACAAGTGAGGGATGGCACGTCTCTGACCGGTTAGCCGAGATGGGCAAATTCCAGATAACCTCGAATGAAGGTAAAACGGACGAAGGCCGACATGCCTCGCGACCGGTATGCCACGATAAACCGGTCAATACCAGCCTGGCCCATGAGCATCACCCCTCTGCCCCTTTGCCAAGGGGCAGTCCGGTGGGGCATAGCTCGGTTGAGTGCCTGTGGTGACAGTTCTTCGCAAAAGATAGGCCAGTCGTGGTACTCTGGTCAGGTGTGCCACCTGGGCCAATGGTGCGAGGGAGAGGACATCTGCTCCACGCACGCCTCAATACCGTTGGACAGTTCTACGTGTACTGGTGGAAGGACTAAGCCTTTACACGCGTAAGGTGGTGCGAGGCGAGCATTGCCACCTGTCCAGGGAAGGACAGCAGAGGTAGTGCGCGCGCAATCTTGAGGCAGCATGGCCAGCCTAGAAATATGGTGGAAGATGAACGTTAGAGGTATGCAAGTTCTCCCCCAAAAGAAAATACTCTCTCTCTATCAGTCTTCCCCTTC